TGCCCATATTTACCCAGCTATGACAACTGACTGCAGATACCCAGCAAGCTTACTCGTGATACATGAGATTAATAACTAATAATAAGCCACCGGCCCTAATCATGAATTTGATTAATGCCCTACCCCAAATCCGCCCATGCTACTTACCAGAAGATCCAATCCCTGGGGAAGGCTAGGGCCAGCAGTAGGAAAGCACCCAGTCTGAGTGATGATACTGCGGTTGGAGGAGGTAGGAAGGCTGTGGTTGACTGCTGACACAGCTGCGGATAGTGAAATGAACTGCAGCTGCACCAGATGCTGGTCTCCTGGCAGAGAGGAAGACGGCCTTAGAGGCAGCACGGACCTATTGGGAACAATAGAAACGGCAGCAGTGTAGGGCAGTAGTGCATGATGAGAGTTGAGCTGACTAGAAATGGCGAGCATCAGATCCCGCAGCTCGTCCTGGCAGTGACGCTGAATTGCCACTGTGGGATACCGAGGAGGGCTCCTCCGTGCCGGATTGACGGTCTGGGATAGACTCAAAGCCAACTTCATTAGGAACAGAAAGCTCAGGAGGCGAAAGAGAGATTGAAGGGAGAGACAGAGAAACAATAACACACAGAGCAGCCAAAAATACTCAGAGCAGCCAGCAGCCAAAAATACTCAGAGCAGCCAGCAGCCAATAATACTCAGAGCAGCCAGCAGCCAATAATACTCAGAGCAGCCAGCAGCCAATAATACTCAGAGCAGCCAGCAGCCAATAATACTCAGAGCAGCCAGCAGCCAATAATACTCAGAGCAGCCAGCAGCCACTAATACTCAGAGCAGCCAGCAGCCAATAATACTCAGAGCAGCCAGTAGCCAGCAGTGTGATTGCAACAAAAGCAACGCAATGTGCGCGCTAACAGCAAAGCCACGCCTGCAGACCAACCCTAGCACGTGGCAATCAGTTCATGGATATTAACTTCGTTTAACCTAGGTGCTTAAACTCCAATTATCATTGTTTACCACTGTCTACTTATGTTTATTACTGTTTATCATTGTTTACCACTGTCTACTTATGTTTATTACTGTTTATCATTGTTTACCACTGTCTACTTATGTTTATCACTGTTTATCATTGTTTACCACTGTCTACTTATGTTTATTACTGTTTAGCATTGTTTACCACTGTCTACTTATGTTTATTACTGTTTATCATTGTTTACCACTGTCTACTTATGTTTATCACTGTTTATCATTGTTCACCAATGTCTACTTATGTTTATTACTGTTTATCATTGTTTACCACTGTCTACTTATGTTTATTACTGTTTATCATTGTTTACCACTGTCTACTTATGTTCATCACTGTTTGGCATTGTTTACCACTGTCTACTTATGTTTATTACTGTTTATCATTGTTTACCACTGTCTACTTATGTTTATCACTGTTTATCATTGTTTACCAATGTCTACTTATGTTTATCACTGTTTATCATTGTTTACCACTGTCTACTTATGTTTATCACTGTTTATCATTGTTTGCCACTGTCTACTTATGTTTATCACTGTTTACCACTGTCTACTTATGTTTATCACTGTTTATCATTGTTTGCCACTGTCTACTTATATTTATCACTGTTTACCACTGTCTACTTATGTTTATCACTGTTTATCATTGTTTGCCATGGTCTACTTATGTTTATCACTTTTTATCATTGTTTGCCACGGTCTACTTATGTTTATCACTGTTTAGGATGATACAAGAGTTCTGTTCCCACACTGATGTTTACTAAATTAACAGTAAACTCTGGAGTTTGGCTAAATCATTGGTCTTAAATCAAGCCTTATCTCCAATTTGTGTAGGGGGTTGCTATGGAATGACAGGAAATCTATGATATTATAATACTGTAATATCAACAAAGCAATGTAAAATTTTTTTCTCTAAGTTTGGAGCTTCAGCTCTGTTGTTATGCCTATTACAATTTCTTTCTGACACTATGGACCTTATTGCACTCACAATTACTATTATTCAGTAAATACAATCACTGCATGATAAATCAGTATAATCATTTTACCTTGTTGCCTTGTAAAATTTATACTTTATTGAAGAAGTAGTAACAGGAGTAAGAGGCCCTAATGACTGTTGGCAGTAATTCAGGTGAATTTATGATTAACTTCTGTCAAACTGTTTCTAATACATAACTGACAAGCGTAACAGTGTAAAAAATATTCCTATAATTGATTTCACCACCTTGCAAGTACAACTTGGTCATTGTTAAGACTTATAGAGGTTCTCTCTACCTTCAAATGCTTCTAGAGAAGTTTTTAAACAGTATCTTTATGTTCCCTTGCTGTTAGAAAGCTCTTAACTTTGTCCCATGTGTAAGCCGCCATTTTGTTTGCCGTGACCACACCCACTACGTAGGGAGCGTGGGCGGGTGGTTGCTAAGGCTTGTTATTTCTCCAATACAACATGTATAGAAGAAATGTAAGTGTGGACATACAAATATATATATATATATATATACAAACATCGCACGTGGTTGAAATCAATTATAGGAACGACCTGGGGGCTACGCCCCCAGGTCGTTAATAATGCTAGATTTATTAGCAGATAGATACTTGCAATACTATTAATAAAATGTAATGTACAAATTATGATTTCTATATTTAAAAAGAGATTATTATTATTATTGTTCCTGTTAGATGTAAAGTTCTTCTTCTTTCATTTGTTCATGTGTGTCATCTATTGTCATGTACTACCAAATGTAAATTTATATAATAGTCACAC